TGAGGGAAAAGAGAACTTTATTCACGCAAACTGTGTATATAAATGTTTGCCGATCAATATATATATATAAAAAAAGCCCTCAGAGATTGGAGAGAACAACACTTAAATTGTGTACACAATTCCACTTTGTACAGTGTCTTGTGGTGATGTATTTGACTGTGAGCACCGCGATAGGTGTGGCCCTTTCATGTCAATTAACATTTTATTTGTTCACCTTTTTTACCACCACGCAGCATCAGTGTGTCGCTGGATTTTCTGTACAGTCACTGATGGGAAGATGATGCGCGGGAGAGAGAGAAGAAGCGTATTTGACCAGGCTCCGGAGCCTGCGAGTCACTGGAAGATGATTGAGAGACTCCATAGAGTGGAAATATGATTTACTGATAATTCACCCCAAAAAACGTGGCTGTCTCCGCGACGAATGTGCTCTCGAGAGAGATGGCTGAACAATAAATTTGTCTCCGTGCGATCATGAAATGCCTGGCGATGGTGTGGAGAATGCTTAGGGGATAAGAAGCGACGAGAGAGCATACCTGGAGAAGATCGTATGTGAAACAAACAAGTGGATTTCTTACCCGAAGGGAAGATTGAATTTCCGCGCCAATTTGTGCTCTTCGTGGAGATTTTTTTCTCTCCGTTTCACCGGGCAAAACTCAATAATGTGCAGAAACTTACCCAACAAATCCTCCCGCACCAGCGGACTTGGAGTAATTTCTTTCGTCATTTTCTTATTTGTTTTCTCCGCACTGCCGGAAAAATACACACACACACATGTCTATGGATGCTCCACCAAAAACCATCGGGGATTTCGAGAGAGAGAGAGCGAGAGAGCTTGGAAAAAGCGTTGGGAAAACTTTTGAACACCTTTTTTTCACCCTCTCCGCCAACCCCTCATTCATCACACCACACACAAGCACTATGTGGCATATGTAGAGCCATCGCGGGATGAAAAACAAGAAAACCACCCACAGTGCAATGAAAGTTTAACCTGATAAACCCACCATCATCGCCAGCACACCTCCAGGAGGTGGTGAAAAATAGTCTCGATGTCTTCCGGAGGAGAAAATAATTTTATTACCGCACAGATAAATTATCTCAATTTATTGGTTTTAAGGAGGAATTCCCAACTGCAGTTGCTGATACACACCCATTCTTTCTTCCGACCGGCAAAACACTAATTAAAGCCATCCATCAGTCGCGCAAAAATTCCACACCGCCGAAGCTTTTCGCGCTTTTCTATTGCGCTCTTGCCAACTGTCGAAATTCTTTTTTTTTCTTTTTACACAGCGCCCGCTGCACTAAAACTCACCCCATTTTCCAAACTCTCGATGGAAATGTGGGTGGTTTTCTCTATTGAGCAGCCGAAAAAATATCGACTCCAAAATGAAACTTCCTGGAATTGATCTTGTGTGTTGAAGCACATTGGAGAAAGCATCGAAATAGACTTTTCTTTCTGGGAAGCCAGAGCAATTTGTTGGGAAATTAATATTTCTCCTCTTCATTGAAATGTTGAAGCTTGAAAAGAATATATCGAAATATGTTTTTCTCTACTTCATAACATGATGTTTTACCATTTTCTGCACACTTGAGAGTGAGATTAGAGAGGACTTTTTCTACCCTTGCAAATTTCCACCAGATAAATGATGCAAATCGACTTAGTTATGTGCATAGTTTGTGCATTTGTGTATTGTGTTAATTGGCGCAGAATTTTGCAGTGGAAAAAGTTCCCATGCAGTGGAGAAAACAAGAGAAAAAGGCTTCGAAATGACTAATATGCATTGGAGCAGCAAAACATTCCCAAATAAATAATACAACGTGGAAAGAGGAGGAAAAAAGCGGCTGGGCGACATGGAAGAAAATTTGAAATTTCCCCAACACTGACGTTGACACAGTGTTCATGACCTCACATTTGGTTTTTAGTTGAGGCTGCGGTCGGTCTAAAATAAACCACGCACTGTACTTCGGCCTGTGTTATTCCAGTGACACAGATTGCCACGCAGAGCGCAATCAGAAGGGTCGCCATCGATGGGACAGGACAATTGGGGTCAAAGCCGTGTGTTTGGGGCTCTCATTGAAACACAAGGGGAGGATAATATGCCTTTAATCTGTACATCACTTATTTTCCTTATTTTCACCAACTCTTTCGGAACTTCAGAGATTTTTCCAATCGTCTAAAGTATCATAACCTCACATTTAGGACTCTTTGTCTCAGAAAGGACGTGATTTTTTACTTTTATTATCCTAAAACTTGCAGAGAAACAGGAATTTAGACGGATTTGAAGTTTCCAACGAATTTTTTGATGAGATTTAATTTTCAATCGCTTTTTTTGGGTGTACTTTGAACAATAACCTAGAAATTATCTTAGGTAATCTAAAAAGAATCCGTGAAAGAAACTTAACAGGGGTCTTTAAAAGACAAATTTAGCGAATATTAATCTGTTATAAATCAATATTTAGTGTAAATTTGCTATTTTAGAGTAGAAAATCAATCAAATTTCGTATGTTGAATCGGTATTTTAGAGGTTATGATCAATCTTAGCATTAATTAACACAGTTTTAAATTGAAAGCTTGTGATCTTTAACAGATTTCATTATTATTGCGCCAGTGAATGCAAATTTTACCAGCTTAGGCGCGAAAATTGATGATTTTTAAGGTTATTTAGTGGTAAAGTTTGTCTTAAATTCACAACAAAACCTAGAAAAATGCAAAGAACAGAACTTTTCCCCAAATATTGCGTTAATTTCTTGTAAAAATGACTTTTGAATGCATCAAATTGATGATATTCAAGCACTTCCAAGTACTTCAACTGAGCTGTACACCTCATCTGACTGTATTTTCTCCCCCTTGTTGAAACATGTTCGTTCATCATCATTCTCCCAGGGCCCAGAGAGCCACACACACAGTCGCTGCCCCAAATGTTTGGTTAAATAATACAAGAACAATGTGTGTATAGAAAATGGCAACACCTCGACTTTCCAGATTAATTTCACCCCCGCTTTTTGGGAGCAACGCGCGCTTGTATTGCTTTTGAATTCCACATAATATCCGAAAGCACATTTCGCATCCACAATGGGACTTTTTTATGGTCACAGCGGAAATGGCTTTTTGCGGAAGAGTTTGGGGAAATCCGCCCGAAATCCCTGGTCGACGGTGAGGGTGAATTGGGGGGTTGGATACAGAGGGGTGAGGGTGGAAATAGTGGAGAACAGAAATTAAACAGTAAATTCAAATTATTGGACTCTTTTTCTCATTTCGCCCTCCATTATTGCGAGATCAGCACTGATCATGCAGATAAATTACACCAGCAAAAGCATCCAAATTTTGCACTCTGACTTTTCATTGAATCACTGGAATTTGGACAGTAATATTAAGTCCCAGATTTAATGGCAGTGCGAGAAAAATTGCGTGCAAATAAGAAGTGATTTGAGCATATAACTCAATCACGTTTATTGAGTTATCCATCACGGTGAACACGAAAATCTCCGTTCTGAGAAATATCGGTGGATTCTCGCTGAGAATTATGTTGCAGATTCTCGCTCAATTCTCTGTGTAGCAAAAAAAATGCTGTGAATTTTATCTGGAATTCTCTCTGTTCAGTTGTGAAGGATGAATTTCCCACGTAAAAATGAATATTTCCTTCCACTGTTGAATTATTTAGTGGCGAGAGAGAACATGGAGTGCAAAATTTCAACGTGTGAAAAATGTAGAAAATCAAACAAGTTGTGAACATTGGAAGCGGAAAATCTCCTGAGAATTCTCCCAGAATTTCCGGTGGAGGGAAGCAATCCTCGACAAGTTGATTATTTTACCGGAATTTTTTCCATTCTAATTCACTTTCGATGCGCGCGAAAGCATTCGGATATCAATATCCATTTGTCATCATTTCACATATATGAAAATTCATACAGCAAAGCTCGCTTGTGAAGTGCGCTCGAGAAAATTTCCTTAAATTCGTTTAAGGATATTCAATATATTTCTTTTTCCACACACACACACGCCAAAGAAGCCGAAGGATGGTATTTTATGTAGACGAGAAGGGAAGAAGAATTGCGTCTTGTGGGTATAAAGTATCATTCATGGATCGCTAAGAAGGAAGCAAACCCCAACTCTCCACTCTCTCTCCTTCTTACATGGTTTCCACGAGCCACTGGTTCCAGAGGCAGAAAAGCGGAGAGCATCAAGAACGATATCATATGTTATGAAGTTTAGAGATTTTCTCTATTGGCAGGGAATGTGAATAATCTTGGAATTCTTCAACCTTGTGTTGTACGGCGCGGGGAAGAAAGAATGACGAGGAGAATTCCCTGAAACGAGAGACAGCCAACAATATGAGAGGAGAAAAGACGGGATGGAATATCTGCATGGCTAAGCATTGATATCATCTTCACAAGCAAATTTTCAGGACTCTCTTCCACTGTTTAGACTTTTGTCACCACACTCACACTCCCTCGAGAGAGTGGAGATGCTTTTGAGGAAGTTTTATTCATGTTCGAGTGAACGGAACCATTTTTGTGCAATATCTCAACATTGAAAGAAATATTGTACACTCGAGAAAAGTTGCACAAACTCACTTCTTTAAATTTGTATTTAAAGATTGGACATTTACGTGGAATTATCTCCACGTGAGAGGGAAAAAATACACACACATGAAGAGCCTTTTTATGCCTTTGTAGAGTTTCCATCAAACGACATTTAATGCTCAAAGAGGTGCTTTCAATGTTTTTTTTCCCTTCACTTGTGCTTATGCTTCTTATGAAGGCATTTTCTGCAACGACATTACAGCGTATTTCATTAATTTCCGCCTTATGTCAGCGGAACAACAGTTCTCCAGCTCACAAATCACATTAAAAGTTGGTAATTGGATTTGTCACGCGCGCGCGACTCAAAGACTATTGCGAGACATTTGATGTGTGTATGACTGATGCCTTTTTCTCTCAGTGTATCAGCTGAATTCCCCGTCGCATAAATCTAATTTCCCTATCTCTGTGCATCTTTGCAGACACAAGCGGAAAGTGCAGAACTTCTTGCCGTGCAAGACGCCGACGCGCGGAGGACATTTAGACGCCGCAGCGGTTTCCGGTGGCCACTCAGTCACATACGAGGATCCCGATGCACATCTTGGCAGCCGACCGCTTGTCATGCGGCACCAGCACAACATGGAGGTAAGCGCACTTCCTTTCCTCCCCTTCGCGAGAGGGGGAATCCATTAGGCGCTCTGAGGACTCTTGTGGGCTTGAAGAGGACTCACCCACAATTGTTGCGTGGCTGCGGATTCAATTTACACACACAGCATCCGGTTCATTTGAATTCCCATTCGCAGATTTCTTTCCTCCTTCTTTTTCTTCGCCATTCAGGAGGAGTTGAGAGGCCTGTCAAAATATTTCCAGTGAAAACTGTCACAACATGTCACACCAGACACAATCACTTTGCATTGTGTGCTGATTCAGACGTCGTCGCCTTTTGTTAATGAAACGACGCGACAAGGAAGGCTTTTTCGTTGATGGGAAATGGGAAAAAGACACGCGAGAATTCCCGAGTAATCCGAGATGAGAGTGCCTGAGCTGAATTAAGGCCTGTGCGCGCCAATTGAAAAGGATCCCCTTTACTGTGCCACCAGAAGAAGAAAAAAACACCCCTTTTCAGCAATCATCAATTAGTGAATTGTACATTTAAATGCCATGATCTATATTATATTCACTCCTTTCCTTCTCCAGACTGTCAGGTATTCTCTCCCTCACTCGCTTGTCATATCCTGTGTGCCCATGGCATCGGCTGCATCCTCTAGTGCTCGGGACCGGATAGAATATCGTATTTCAATATAATATTGAAGGATATTGTATTAAATAGGATTACCGTATAGAAATTCTATCCCTACAAAATGAGATGCCCTCCCAAGTCCGTGCTGAATCAGAAGTGGAAGTGGGAAAGGGAGAAGGAATTGTCCGAGTGGGAAGTGAGAAGCCCAAGAAAGAACTACATTGTGGGATCCTTCATAATGTCCCTCCAATATAATGTGTGGGTTTTATCGTTATTTTGTGTTCCATTTGGTCGATAAAATATTTCTCCTCCAACACACAAACACACACTCTGTGTGTGTCTCTCCAGTGAATATTATTGGTGACTGTTCGAGACATTGAAAGTGGGTTTTTGGTGGATGGGAGTCAACCAATAAATTGGGTAAGGTCGTTTTTGTGCAAATATTTGCCTTATGGTAGCTGTCGAATTGAATTTTAAGCTCCGCCAGTGTGTTGACTCCGTCAGCCCACACGGCGAACCCTTCCTCATCATGGACTAAAAGCTCTTTCTCACCAAACCCATCCGGAATATATGGTCGATTTTGGGTTCCAAAACCACCAGTCACAGCCACTTCTCGGGGAGCTTTCAGTTGTTTGCTCAAGTGTACCGCAGCCATGGGGAATCCTGTCAACAAGAACTCAATCTGCGAAAGTTTAGCTATGAATTATATCAATCGCTCCCATAGAAATTTATGCCTCCACCATAACTCGACACTTCAAGCGAAAGGGGGGAGAAACTATATGTGTGTTCTTCAGAAATCACACAAACCGCGTCAGCAGGAAAATGCTTGAGAGCCTCACAGTTTTGAGGGATGGAAAATTTCTATTGGATCTTAATTGACCCATTGAAAGTTCAATTTTCACCCAAACTCATGGAAAGTTGCCTCTAAACTTGCTTCTCAAGCTATCAAATAATTTATTGAGCATATATTCTCTCGGTGAACTTCTAGAGCAAAATAGCCTAAAACATAAGATTGCTCGAATTATTCTTCATCTTTAATTATCTCCGCACTTTTTCCCATCTGTACTCACTTCTTTGTCACTTCGGCTTTAATGTTAAAGCTCAGAGAGTAACAAATACGCCTATATTATGTATTATATATGGTCTCCTTTAGCATAAAAGCATTTGTGATATGGCAAAAGAGATCAGACGAGCTTGTGTAAAAAATAGCAACTGATTTGCAAAAGCGTATTGTTTTCCAAACCTCTTGTTTTTAAATTGAATACATTAAAGTCACACGGAGCTTTTACGTGATATTGCTTTTAAGCTTTCAGAGGCATCATGCATGTGCGGCTGTGATTTTTGTCGCAAACCCATGCATAGAAAAGTGTTTTCATTGCCCACACCAAATGCACAAATATACAAATAGTGTGACATCTTCATTCGCCATTCCTGCAGCCCTGCAAAAGTATGCAACCCTCTCACTCTCCACCTTTTAAACACTATTTTACACCGCCTCATGTGCTTTTGCGTCCAGACTCGCCTCCGGTGTGATCAACGCACGTGTGTTTGTCTATTTTGCACTGGATGTGTGCACATCAAACAAAGGGCTTTGATCCACAGGACAGTGAGCTTCGGGGCCCCAGCCCCATGGCCATGGGTGTCCACTCTCTGGCGCAGCATATTTTGGTAAACAAAAGTTCGGTCTTCCCTGTGTCACAGAGGTGGAATGCAAAAATACATGGGAAATGCTTTATGCCAGTGCATTAAAATTCAAAACCGGAATTTACCCCCATATTCACGTATTTACTTGCCAATATACCGGCAATAGAGACTCATCCTCGCATGTGGCTTTAGTTTTAGCGCAATAAATTCACGCAGGGTGCTTCAATTGCCATGGCTTTTCACCCCACTTCGGAAGACTATATCGTATCGGCCTTTTATCTGGCGTGGCGACAAAAGCACACACACACGCAAAGGACCGAATGTAAATCCTGCAGAGGAGACACTTTTATTGCTTACTTCGCTCCACTTTTCCAATAACCCCCAAATTACATGCAAATGATCAAATATTGCACTCATTCAGTGTGTATTAGAGAACTTTATACGAAGAATTATCCCACTTTTACTGCTCATTCTGCAGACAAATTATCGCATGTCAACTTTAATTCACCCCCAGTATTAAACTTGTCGGAGCTTTTTGCAAACAGAGTGGCACAACTTGGTGAAAGTTCACGTGAAGATTGCATTTTGGCAGCGGATATGAAAACAGGAGAAAGCTCACTTGACAGTGCATTCATATTTAATCCCTTGGATATTAAGATGAAACCTTCGGTGAAAGCTCAGTGAAGGCGTTCTGTTTTTGCGAGAGGTCTGCAAAAGAAGTGTCATTTCACTTGCCATTGTCATCGCATTATCTGGTGTCTTGTGCATAATTCAGGAACACCTCTTTTGCCTCCTCCCCAAATGAAAAACTCACGGGCGAAAGTTATCAAGCCAAATCCAGGGAATTATCCCTCTCAGTCTCATTAGCTTGCGCGGGAAATGAAGTGTGAAAAGTGGGATTTTTTCTTCCACCTTTAATGGGACGAGCTTTTGGGTGATATGGGAGACACCCTGTGTTCGGTGGGAAGTTTGGGAGCTTCAGAGAGATGCAAAATACACAGAGTCTCTTGTGCATACAGTGTTTCTGCATGGCAAAGCTTTCGATGGGTATAACTAAACACCACTCAGTGGCTTTGACCGGAGTTGGCGAACAGAAAGGGACCACATCAAAACTATGCTGAGCAGCTGGGCAGCCGGACATGTTCGCCAAACAGAGACGTGGGCAGACAGACAAACCTGACTTTGCAATTTGCCACTCTCTCACTGACACCTGCCTAATAGTTGCACAGCGCCTGGGGGATGAATTATTCCACAATCAGGGTGGTGGATTCTTTGTCTGGCAGAACAACATCAACTTCCGCACCCTCTTGAGGACTCTCCTCTTTTCTTCAAAACTGCAATCGACAATCTCAGACAAATTAGGAGCACTCTTGTCCTGCACGTCGCGCGCGATGTTATCTTCACGCAAAGGGATTACTCCCAGAGAGACCATTATTTGTGTTTTACATTATTGCAAAAACTATGGTGGAGAACCCTCGAGAGGCGCGAAAATTTCTGCTTTTCATTTCATCTACACAATTCACACGCCTGTCGGATTTGCAATTTTGCATGCGGCGATTTTGTTGCTGCATTGTCATTCAAGTGGACTTTTATTATTGCTGCTGGTGCTCCATTTTGTTCCGATATGCACCATAAAGTGGATGCCTGTTTATTTTTAATCCCTCACCCACTCAATTGCGGAAGCTCTAAATCTCCATGCGACGGACGACCCTCTTTTCACCCTTCGCGCCACTCAGCGCCAAGAGTGACTCATAAGACTCTCTGGCTCTGGAGAGAGAGGATAATTCCCGGACACGGAGTGTAAGTGAATGAAATGCACTTTCTTCGTCATGTCACAAATCAACTTCCGTCTTCACGCAGAGTCTCAGAGGCATGAGAAATGCGGCGTTTCGCGAGTTTAACGCTCCTCATCTAATAGCATTAGAATTACTACTGCGTCCATTCTCATTGGCACTGTGGAAAAAGACATTCTCGAAACTAGAACAATGGCGCAACTCTTAATTCCTGACAAGGATTTTCTAGTTGAGTTTTCATTGTGCTCCTAACAATCAACTCACAACTTTGCTTCGGCAAAGGCACTGAAGTTTGTTCTTGCGCTGGAGAAATTCTGCAAATTCACCTTTATAACGAAATGTAATACAGCAAATGTAATGCACTCGGAAAGAGAGGAAATTCATGGCAGACAATGCAAATTAAAATTTGAAAATTGTAGAAATAATCACATTTAAACCATTTAAAACCTTTTTGCCGAGGAAGCTTTGTTTCTACATAAAATCTTCATACTATTTTCACTAATAATAAGCTTTCGATCCTTAATTTCTCCGCTATTCATTTAAATACATAAATGCTGCAGTATTTCTCGGGTGGGGAAATGCAAATCAGAGTGGTTTTATAAATCAACCCCACAACGACTCAAGTGCAAGCTGGCTCAAGAGGGAGATAATATGCCTTAAATCTGTACACCACTTCCAAATACTTCCAAAGTTTCCACATTTATTCTCAAATTATAATCAATTTCTTAAAATTTCATTCGACATTTCTGCAAGAATCGAGTTAAAACCGCTGTTTTTAGACATCTTTTCGACCATAACCTCACAAATGCAACTAAGAGATCTTCAAAGACTCCGTTAGGAAGTTTTCTGGATCACAAAATCATCTCTTATGATTTACGAATGATCTCCACAGTCAAAATTGTCCAGAAAGTTGTATAAATGAACACTTTCCAAGTCGAAATGACTATTTTTGAGGTTATGTTCAATCTTAGCACAATTTGCAGTGTTTTTAAGCATCAAAGGATAAGAAAACACTATTAATTGCTTGTAAATGCTTAATTTTGCAAAGAACTAGCAGAATTTGTGTGCTACAATGCGAATTATTCACTAAATCTGTCCTTAATTCGTGACATAACCTAGAAAAAAGATTATTTCGTTAGTTTCTGCATGAAAATCGAAAGAAATTATGAGAATCTCGATAGCTCGTCAGCAAAAAGAAGCGCGTAGGAAAGGAATATTGATAGTTTTCCAACACTTCCACTTCTTAAATACTTCTGATGAGCTGTACACCACTTCTGGCTGTATTATCTACCCCTTGAGCTGGCTTAGCTGCAATACACTTGGCAATATATTTGCGGTGAGTCTTAATGGGTGAGCAAGGAAAAGTCTATTGTGATGCGATTCTTCACTTCATCGCCCACAAAATAGCACAAAATAAGTCGCCCGCAGCTTTATTAAATCTTTCGCATCTGCACTCATTGCTTGAAACTTTGCCTCCCACACAAATGATTATGATAATAATCCCAAAGTCTCAATGGGGTGTAGTTTGAAATGCACTGCGAGTGATGCAAGATATTTTCCAAACACTGACGGTGAAAGAGAGGAAAAATGTGGGGTGGGGGAAAAAAGAATTTCAGCATGCGGGAAAGTTTATTCATTCTTGTTTCAACCATTCGGAAATTATTATCCGCTCAACTTTTAACATATTTTTTCCAACACTCTATATTACTTTCTTTTTTTTCCCCCCTCGTGGAAAAGCCACCACAGAGAAGAACTCTTGTGGTGCATTCCGAGGGCGCTCACAAAACCATCGCATTGAGACGTTCTGGAGAGAGGGACAAAAGAGAAAAATGTTGTAATTTCCACTCTACTCCTTTAGGCAATTGCAAGAGTGAGCAATTTTTCTCGTGGGAGCAATGCGAAGAATCTCATACGTATATATATTTTATTGTTGGAAAAATCTTCAACTCTGGGTGGAAACAATTGTTGGGCGAATTGTACTTTTTCACACCTAAACTCGCCTCCCCAGGAAGTTCACATAAACTAAGAGAGATGCTTTTTATTATGTGTAGAACAAAGTTCAATTCCTTCAACTATTTCTCCATCTTTCACTACTTTTTTCTTCCCTCCTTCTCAGCTCTTCCATCTTCAAACCACCCACACAAAGTGTGTGTGTGTGTGTGTTTGTGTGTAAATTGCAAACTTTCCCTCCACATTTCATCAACTTCTTCACATCGTCCACTTGAGAACAAGAGGAAATTTCGTTATCAAAGAATTTGAAAGAATTGCACTTCTATCTTGACCGTAGAAGAGCTCATTTTTCCCATTGTGGCAATAGAGCGAGGAAAGAAATATTTATGTTGGAATGATAAGGCGAAAAGGGCGGAAAAAAAATTCTTTTGAACAATAAAGTCAAAGGACTCAATTTAGAGGAAATTCTATAAGATATTCTTTTGCTATTTGTCTCGAAAAGTTCCCTTATTTTCATCTCCACTCGGGATTCCTCACCATATATTCTGTGTTATTTATTTTACCCCGAGGTGATGAAGAAGGGCGGAAAAAAATTCCCCGGGTAGATTATGAAAGTAGCAAGATTTTCACTATACGATGAAAAATTCTTTTGGGCATATTTTTCCCTTGAGCGCGAAGATGAAAATAATAAGAAGCGGGAAGGAATGGAGCAACAAAAAAATGATCCGGAAGCTCACGAAGGAACTTTCCCAGTACATTTGCATCACTTTGAAGATAGCAATCAATGAGATTGTTATTTCCTACTTTGTCACAGATAAGCACACACTCCATTTGAAGTCATCCTTGTACTTCCATCTATTGTTCGCTGCATCCTCTTGAGTGTGCGACATTTTCCTCTCGCAATGGAAATGCTCGGCAGGCAAATCATTTCTCAGATGCAAGTGTGCCATCACTTATAATTCCCGCGGAAAAGAATGCAAGAAAACACAAATGCAAGCAAATTCAAGAGCAATTCTTGCATTGATTTTTCCACATTTCTCCCATGCAATAAATGCACAATAATGAAACCATTTAAGGAGTTAGAATGTCCGGATTTTATAGCCAACATGATACAGAGGAAACTCTTAAGCAAGTAATCCAATGAATTCATAACAAGAACTGCACAGAAACTGTCACTGAATCTCTGGATGTTTTCGAGTGTCTCAGAAGTCTTTAACGAGGCCAAACATTAAGCGCAGATTAAAACTATGATTCAACTCAAAACTTAATATTTTTACTCACAAAAAAAATAACTGAAAGAATTCAATTTGTCCTCTGGATCAAATGTAGCGAAAGAATTGAGGATAATTCAATTCCTTCTGCAAACATTATTAAAAATGTCTCATTTTTCCACCCTCTTGCAGATGCTGCACCCGAAATCGATACACTTTCCCAGCGGCTACCCCATGACGCGCTCCCCGCCCCTCTTCGTCTGCTCGTCCCCCGGCCCAGACCCTTATCGCTCGCACGATAACGTGTACGAGGAGCTGGGCCCGCCGCGGGAGTCCGACGGCGAGTCCGAGCCGCCCGTGCACTCGGACGATGACTTTGCCGAGGACGAGCTGAGTCTGCCCGGCGAGAGGTCGTTCCACAAGACGTCTCCCGACAACTCCACCGTGGCCACGATCTACCAGGAGCGCGGCGGCTCCAGCGGCACGGCCGCGGCCACGAGCAGCGGCAGCGGCAGCGCCAGCGGCAACGGCGAGCGAAGCACGAGCGAGAGGAACACGCTGCTGTCGCCGCCCACGACGAACGCCAGCGCTCGCAGCACGGGCAGTCGCGGCATGATGGCCAGTCCGGGGAGCATCTTCAGGGGGCGCAAGGTGCACAGCACGCGGAACGGGAAGCTGCCCAACTTCAGTGCAGATGAGCTGAATACATCGTCGGAGCACGACTACGCGCCCGACATGGTGCTGTCGACAATCTACGGCCAGCGGAGTCACCTGATGACGCTGCCCTACAACACGGTCGCCGGAGCGAGCCACCCTGTGCCCGCCAGCCGGCGCAGCAACATGAACTGCTTCGCCGCCTCGTCGACAATAAGTACGGAGGGTGAGGAGGCCGAGGTGGAGCGGCGCAATCAGATCAACCGCGAGCTCTCCAGCCACCCTGTGGCGACGATCTTCCGGGAGCGCGGCACGGCGCCGTATCCGCGCAACTTCCTCACGCACCATCACCCGCCCAACGCACGCACGCGCACGAATCCGCGATCGCTCGATCGGCGACGCATCATCGCACCGGCGCCGGATCCGAGCTACGGCTACGCCGAGCCTGTGTTCCACGACGGCGTCCTGTTCGATCCCTACCTGGCACACGATCGCGCACACCCCTATCCCTATCTCCTGCCCGAGTTCACCACGTTCAGGAACGCCCCGGGCGCGGTAGCGTGCCAGCAGCCGCTGGACGGGACGGTGGCCGCGGCGGCGCCCACCTTCGGCAGGGACTCGAGCTTCGGCAGCGACTCTGGCTACAGCCAGCACACGCAGACATCGACCAGGAGCGGCTGGGGACGCAGCGGCCGGCGCGAGAGCGCCCCCAAGAATACGCCCTTCAGCGCATCTTGAGATCCGCTGCGATTCCTCAGCGGCGCGTAGAGCGCGACGCCACTGTAAATAGCCGGCGGAGACCTGAGTAAGTGCGGAGTCAGTGATAGGCGCGGGAAGGACGCAATGTGATTCTGTTCAATACTACAGCGTGGGCACTAATTATAGGTCCACTGCAGGTATCCGGGTGTAGGTAGTCTGGGGCAAAATCAAAAAATATCAAATATGGCGTTTGATTGCCTATCCATAGTCTAAACAAAACCCCCAATATGAGGCCCCTCCGCCGGATCCTAGGGATTCTAGGGAACTTTATCACTTTCTGGGCTGGCACTAATTATAGGTCCACTTGGGAATTTTCACTATATCTCAGCGAAAAAAAATCGGAAAATTCTGAAAATCATAAGGATCCTTCATTTTGAGCCCAGAAACCATTTACCGTCGCCACACCCCGCCTCGGTCCTCCGTGGACCGCACTGTTAAAAGTCTTTGCCTAGTACTACGTGATCGCCCAATATGGCTCCTCCGCATTGGGGCGGGGGGCCCAATGGCCACAAACTCCTTCATAGGGCTTGATTGAAGCCTCTTGAGCATAATTGGGATTTCTGGCGCCGATACCCTTTCTGAATCCTGGCCTTAAGCACTTCTTCCAGGGTCTTTTTCTGCTTCTTCGGGCCCAAACCACCCCAACCCCCGGACCACCCCCAATGAAATGGGGCGAAAAGTTCTTGGGACACTTCTAGGAAACCCGAGGACCCTAGATCCGGGGACGGGTAGCGCCTCGAAGGGAGTGCCACACCGTGGAATGAGACCCATTCGAAAACCACCTAAAAGTGTATGGTTTTTCATTGAATTTCAACTGGCTCTCGTTCTACGTTAGGGCGCTCCCTCCGAGGCGCTACCCATCCCCGGATCTAGGGTCCTCGGGTTTCCTAGAAGTGTCCCAAGAACTTTTCGCCCCATTTCATTGGGGGTGGTCCGGGGGTTGGGGTGGTTTGGGCCCGAAGAAGCAGAAAAAGACCCTGGAAGAAGTGCTTAAGGCCAGGATTCAGGAAGGGTATTGTGGTCAGATAGCCCAATTATGCTCAAAAGGCTTCAGTCTTGCCCTATGAAGCAGTTTATGGGCATTGGGCCCCCCGCCCCATTGCGGAGGAGCCATTTTGGATTATCGTGTTATGCAAGGCAAAGACCTTTAACAGTGGGGTCCACGGAGGACCGAGGCGGGGTGTGGCGACGGTAAATGGTTTCTGGGCTCAAAATGAAGGATCCTTATGATTTTCAGAATTTTCCGATTTTTTTTCGCTGAGATATAGTGAAAATTCCCAAGTGGACCTATAATTAGTGCCAGCCCAGAAAGTGATAAAGTTCCCTAGAATCCCTAGGATCCGGCGGAGGGGCCTCATATTGGGGGTTTTGTTTAGACTATGGATAGGCAATCAAACACCATATTTGATATTTTTTGATTTTGCCCCAGACTACCTACACCCTGGATACCAGCAGTGGACCTATAATTAGTGCCCACGCTGTATATATGTTGCCACTGAAATATTCAATTGATTTAGGTAAAACGAATTCATCTGAATGCGACATGAGAACACATGTAGATTAATGAATCTTGTAAACACACAAAGACTCAAGACTGTCTTTTGAATTGCGTAATAAAAATCATTAAGTAGAATTGTATGTAAATTGACACTTTTTTCCAATTGTACAATAGAAACTGAGGGCAAAAATTGGGACTCGCGCGACATTGACATGTGACGAGAAATCATTCACACAGCATGATAAATACACACAATAGTTGGATATAGAGGAATGCGAGAGAGAGAGAGAGAAAAAACACTAAAAGAGCACAAATGATGTATCCTAAAGTTGAAAAAAAAAATCTTGTGAAACATTTTTCCAAGCACTGATGCGGGGATTTTTTTTAAACATTTCCACTGCGCACTTAAACAATTATCCCCAATTGTGCGGTATATTGTCTCTATTTTATCAATTTGTTGCATTCAATATATATTTTTCCCACCCCTTCGGTCATTTCCCATGCCTTTCCTTCGCTGTATTTGATGGAAGTGGAAATAATTAAATTTAAAACCGTCATGCAAACAATTACAGTTGTAAACAATTTCTACATATTCATAATGACGCTGGGGTTTTGTGGTTGGGGAATTGGACGCATGGTGTGCAAAAGAAGTCCCTGGGAATTTGTGTGAAAATTAAAATGCACGCCAATTGAAATGAATTTGTATTTGCGATTCAATTTATATTTAAAATTTTTGACCAAAAACAATTAAGCTGCCACTTGGGGGACAAAAACAAGTGACAAAAAAGCCGCGGATCAGTCCCAAAAAAAAATTGTCACGGAGCACTTTTGCACGCTGCGACCAAAAATGCAATCAACACGGCAAAATAGTGTGAATAATTGCCATGAATATCCATAGGCTATAGAGAGAGAGAGAGTGAAGGGAATTATGTATGTTGTAAAGGGGATATTTTTCGAGAGAGAAAGAGTGGCGCTACGGAACCTCACTAGAAGAAGAATGTGTACAATTATGGATACTTAAGTTTCATAAGATGAACGATAGAGAGTAGTTGAAGGAATCCTTGCTGAGAGAATTTATTCTAAAGTGTAACGCTGGTGGAGCACTATTGAATTTTGTTGAAGAGCTGAGTGTAAATAGATTGTGTAAAATTTGTATTTCGAAGTCCTTATTTAAATATTCTGTAACGCTGTAGATTCTAAGGGCATGTATACAAAGTGGAGAAAAGATGGAGATCTGTAGATACATAGCTGTGTACATAGATAATAACTTATAGATAGCAAGGTAGTAGTTGAAAATTCATCATCTTCCCTTCCATTGCAATCACAAGCCATAAGTCTCATCGTAGGAGTTTAATGCTGAGGCAAGGAGCGAGGAGAAATTTGTAAATATATAAGGCGAGGAGGAAAATTGCAAAAATAATCATCTTATTAGCTTAGCATGAGGGATTCGCGTACTATAAAAGAAATGATATAGATTGCAGGAGAGTGGAAAAATGTTATACTTCATCCAGCCATCATCACGGAATCAATAATGTCAATTTGACGAAGCCCAGAGGGAGGGAAAGAGGGGCAGAAGGGGAGACACGTCGCCGAGGGGTGGTGCTGAAGAGGAGCTTTCATCAATTGACAACACTTTCCATCACCCCTGTTTGGATAAATGAGAGAGCTTGCGGAGCTTTCCTCAATTGCGAAACTTTCAATTTTTTCATTAGTGCAAATTATCGAATCTAAACATTCACGGCGAACTTCTCCGTTTTTGCCACCCACAGCAAAATCCCTGTCTCTGATTGAGCATGAGATTCGCCCTTCTTTGCCAAACAAGATCTTCTCTACACTGTAAATTCCCGCTCTAAGTGTTGAAACTTTTCCATTTTCATATTGAAAAAGTTTTACAATTAATGTTCAATTTCGGGTGTGAGAGAGAAAGAGAGAGCGAGAAAGAGATTCTTTCCTTCACACAGTTTCTTCGGCTGGCGAGAAATGCTCAATTTCACGTAATTGCAATTGATGCAAGAGACTTTTCTCGGTGCTATTTTGTCACACAGGAGTGAAAACTTTCCTTTTTCATTATTTTATTAAGACTTGGCGTGGTCGAACGTGTTGGGTGTATTAAGTGGAGGAAAATTTCATTCACCAAAGCAGACCAGAGAATATATACCGAAAAACACGCGACTGTAATTACAGATGCGCGCGCGAAAATTAGCCACACAGGAAATTCAACATTCCCTCAAAATGCACCAGATTCGCGTATAAAAATCCCACAAATACAACTTTGCTGTACTCTTTCGACGGTTTACTGCGACACTATTCAGCACACAGAGCTGTAAGCGACGAGGAAAGCTCTCCATATCTTATCAACACACTACTAGAGACGCTTTCTGAATTCTCTCGAGCGCTTTTTTCTGCCTCTTTGTTACCACAGAAGAGCCATGCCAAAGCATTTCCCCTCATCATCTTCCTTTTTTTTTGTCTCTACATCCAATTTTGGCTTCAATCAGACCCCAAAAAAAAACGCCCAATGGAAGAACCTCATGTCCGTTCTTGAATTAAAAAAAAAGAAAATATCCGAAAGAGAAAATCATATCATAGACGAGAAAAGAATGCTGAAAGAGAAAAAATGATAATTTTTGTAAATATAGAAAGGAGAGAAGAAAATGATATTAAAGAGACGAAATGACGAGAAATACATATATAATTTTGTAAGCTTTTAAATTATGGATAAAACAACAAGATGGAAGCAATGTGAGATATCCCATAAACACTTATTTATCTAATTTCGATGCTAGTCTCTAACACTGTGTTTACCCAACACCCCCAATTTTGGTGACACTTTCAATATGTAATTACATGACGAATTATTTGATGTATATCAATTCAGTTTCCACTGTCAATGATTGGTTATGTTTGTTAGAGCAAAATTGTTTGCCAACATGACACTTCTCATGATGCAGATGAAGAAAAAAAAATAGAAGACGAAAGAAAAAAACGAAAAGAATTTCCAATAAAAGGATAATAAAAGTGAAAATTGTGTGTTGTTTTTTTTTGAATTGTTCACGTCATTTTTCGGCTCTCCCGCATGAATTGTCATGTTCTCAAGTTTGGCGCGCGCAGAGGAAAATTCTGTGTGAATTATGAAAATTGTCACCTCCTTTTGTATATCGCTCTGGCAATGTGCAGAAAATGAGATGAGAGTCCTCGTCGCCTCTGGTGAGTATATGTTGGGGGGGCGGGAAAAAAGATGTAAACACGAAAGTTGGTGAAAATTTCAAAATTCAGCAAATTGCTGGGAAATATGCAATAGGGCGGGGGATAAATTTATGTATTTTTCTCCACGCCAGACGACATTTACGTGCACTGCCAGAGTTATGACAGTCGTCGGAGGCTGCAAAGCCACCCTTGCACATGGGACCCGCAATTCCTGCAGAGCCCCAGCCATGCACGCCTCACCCCTCGACGTCTCTGGCCTTGTCTCCGGCGCTGGTGCAGTGAATGAGTGTTTGGAATATCACAGGAGATGGTATAAATTACCATATTCCCTCACACAGAGGCTCTCCATGTGCAGAATTCCACAGTCTCTCAAGGTGCAGTCCAGCCAATCTGGGCCCAGAGTCGATCCTCCCGAGTGCCTTTTGTCCCAACTTCCTCCCTCCTCCGCCACCAAGTTCGACACAGTATTTGGTGAGCTGCACAGCCAGGAGTTCCCGAGATGCTCTCACGTGTAATTGAATTGAAATGAAGTTTTCCCAATCATTGTCAAAATCGGCCTGAAGTGCCTTCGAACGGCACAAGTTATCGGGAGAATTCCTGCTCAAGTGCTTCGATATTTTCCCCCGAAAAATCTTCAAGCAGCCACTCAGAAAGTGTTTCCAATATCTCTCTATCTCTCTCAAGAGCCATTTGAATTAATCGAATATATGCTTGAAATGGACGAAAATACATTTTTGAATCACCTTTCCGGTTGCTCGCAATGCAGCAACTCTCAAAAACAATGTGAAGACTTACTGAAATGCCTCGTTAGCAACTTGACGATGTACTGAAATGGTTTACAAAAGCATTGAGAGGCCCAAAGAACATGAAGAACTTTAGAGATCATTAAGCACTTAACCTATTTATATGCATCATATCAATACTAAAGGTTATATTGGTATGATTTATTGGAGTTGTGCACACTAATGCCAGCTATTGGGAGAAGACTTTGACGTACAAAGTCGACAGAGAGTGTAGAAAAACTTTCCACTCAACTTTGCAATTGAGTTCTTCTCTATATTGAAAGTGCAATAATTCCTCCAGCATCTATGCATCAAAGCTGACTCCACGATAAATACTTCATTGAACATCAACTGAAACTTCCTAATAACTATTGCTCCTCTTCCGGGCAATGTGTTCTCGCCGCCCCCGAGCATCGCCAAGGATCTGCATAATTGGACAGCGATGGAGGATTTCTCTCTCTGATGCGGAGTGTTTGAAAATTCCGAAGCAACATATTCCCAGGAATATGATGTGTGCTGCCCACACGGAGGGTTTACAAGTGCAATAAAATATAGGGGGATGGAGAGGAGAGGAATAAAAAGATGAGGAATATTCGGGCATCCCGTCACGTTTCATGCATGATACGGTTGAAGGCGAAAGATTAACGTTCAAAACGTCTAGCCGCAGTCGTTTTTGCCACCACCCCAGAGAGCGGAAGGAGCAGCGAAAAACTTTTCATACATGCGAGCACCCTGAAAAATCATAAATAATTCCCATAATATACTTTAACGCGGAAAGTACACTCTCTCCTGCCGCCCATCCTGCGGTGCTGCTCCTGCAGAAATGAATAATCGTTAAAGACTGCGTAAAAATGCCGCTATGAATGGTAAAAATTTCGCTTTCGCCCGCTATTAAATCACACACGTGAACCTGAGTCGAATATGTAATAGAGAGGAGCTTCGCATTTTTATTATATTCCCCAATTCGCCGCAATTTATATTACCTACTCTCTGCATTACACTCTTATTTTCATTTCACTGGCCATCCACTCGAGTCCATTTGGGCGAAAAATCACTCAAGATTGCCCCAAATTCCATGCCGAATATCATATCTCACCGCACTCAATAGCGCCACTATTAATAAATTTGAATAAAACATTATTATGCTTTCATACCCCGCAGAAAGGGGAGCCCAAAACTGGTGTTATTTATAGCCCCAGATTGAATGTGCCATTGCAAATCTTACCACAATGGCGCAATCTTCTTATTCATGATGCTGGAGATTCTGTCATGGAAACGGCTAACTCTGCATGTCTTCAATTAATAAATCAATGAACTCAACAAGTTCCCCAATCATACACTTTACGCATCATCCGAATATATGCCGAGGAGATTACGCCATAACTTGATGGCATACAGACTCATTCATATCTACCGTATGAATATATTTGACCGGAATCTCAATGCGAATTGCCAGACAAACAACACGAGGCAGAAAAGTGTGACACTCAGTCAAATTGAGCAGAGAAAAGACAAGATAATTGTGTGTTTTCAGTCTTCCCACTCAGCGAGCCAAATTAGCTAAGAAAAAAGCAGTTAATTCAACTAAAATGTACTAAGATTACGAGCTAAAATTTTAGCAGGACTCGAGCAAAAAGTGTTAAAAATACATCAATTTACAGCACATTTTTAGGCAAATTTTTCATCAATTTTCTTAGCAATCTTCAAAACATTCCAAATTTTTCTGCTCTTTTTCCGCTAAATATTTTGCTCAGTGTTGAGTTTTTTCTTGATAAAAATTTAGCAGAAAAACCGATAGTCCAACTTCCATCGATTTCCCATCTTCCACTTTCCCGTGCCATATAAACATATGTTTGTGGCCTAAAAGGCATAAAAGAATGTTGATTTCTCAATTTTGAGGTTATTTGCATGGCGCTATTTATACAATTCAACCAAATGGCTAAAATTTGAGCGGAAATTAGCACAAAAATCAACTATTTCAAGCTCAACTTTTGAGACTTGGCATTTTGTGTTTGCTGGGCAGAAACTTTCCTTCAGAAGCGCAAGAATTGAATGTTTCGCCAGTGAAATAAACGTGAAATTTTCACTTCACCCCAAAATCACACTTAATGAGAATTGCGACAATTGAAGTGTGATTCTCATACATTTCACTCCACTGAGCTTTCCATGTCAAATTAGAGAATCATTGCATAGTGGAGATGTGGAGTACAATATATTGAATCAATTCAATTGAATTAGCTGGACAAAAGACACGATAACCTTTCTGGTAACCTTGTGGGCCAGCGTCAATGTTTTGGTATACATGCTATTAGTCACATCAGTGGAAAGTCACAGAGTGGCAAGACTTGTCTTGTCTCTCAGTTTGTCTCTGCAAAATGGATGAGACGGCCAAAAGTTTCGTGAGAACTTTAATTGTGTTATGTTCATTAAGCGCTGTTTGGTCTATTTGGGTAGTTCCTGGACAATGTCCCACCGATCGACCTGTGCAGAAGAACTTCGACATCACCAAGGTATTAGGACACATTCTCTGGGGAATTTTCCCCAACATTGTCTCACTCAATTTATCCACAATTTGTGTATATGTGTGTTCACATCTCAAGTATGCCGGACTGTGGTATGAATATCTCAGGCCAGATGACAATTACGCCTTCCTGGGCGACTGCAACACTGTCCAGTACACTGCACACGCCAATGGGACTGTCGGCATTCGGACGTTCAGGCAGTTCCCACAGAATCTGGGCTATGAGATGGATGAGACGTTTGCAGTATTCACGGATCCCGAGCAGAATCCACCGGAGGGAAGGTGGAACATCTCGTACAGATGGAGTGAGTGAAGCGTTCTCTGCACAGCCACTTATTGCTCATCATGTCGTCTTCCGCAGATGATCCCTTCTTTGCCAATCATCGCATCCTGGAGACGGACTACGACAGCTACTCCGTGACGTACTATTGCCGCGAGGCAAGTCCCAGCACCGCCTTCGATGACTTCTTCATCTACACCAGGAAGCCATCGCCGGAGCCCGACACCAAGGCTCGCATCGACAAGCTCCTCCACAGATTCTACAAAATGGAGTATCTCTTCAAGCAGAAGCAAGGCGGAGAGTGTCACTATTCGGCGCAGACGGACGAATGAATGTTTCATGTGTGTCTAATTGATCCAAGAGGTCCTGGCAATTATGCCAGGACAGAGAGATTATGTACACTGGAAATCAATATGTCCTTGTAGTTGTGCTGCTGTCTAAGAAATTCCCCCCCAAAGGAGGAGTGAAATAAATTATATAAAATACCCCAACCAAGTCCTGATTATTTGTGCAAATTGAAATCCGGTAAATCTCGTTGGTTGGAGTGATAAATGTTTTTGCCAGAGCTTAAGAGAAAAACATCCAAGAACGCCTCGAGCGTCTGAATAAAAGAATCGAAGTACTTCTTTGATGTGATAATTTGCAATTGTAATGATTTTTCTTCGGGAGTAAGTTCTCTCCTTTTCATCTGGGGATTACTATTCCTCCAATGACTAAATTTATTCTCCACTCAAGTATATTTGCTCGCGAAGAATCTCTATATATTGTAAGTAAATAAGACACTACAAAGCACAGAGAATCTTCTTCGTGGAAACTCTTATACTAAATGTTGCAAGAGAGCCGATTGCAGCAAACTTTTATCCTCCCCCCAACTTTCGATGAAAATTGCAAAAAGTGAAAGAAGAGACATTTTAAATGGAAGATGCGCGATTTCTCTTTTTAATTGCACTAAACTTTCCAGTTAAGAGGTTCAAATTGATATTTCAAATGGAGACAATTCAATGCTGCCCGCGGGCTTCATTATGTCCCCAAAAGAGATCCATCCTTTGTCTCTTGAGGAATTCAATTGAACTCACTTCCTTTGAGAGACAGAGTCTCAACTCAAGTCAGGGATGCAACTTTTCTCCCCTTGTCACCGAGATGCAGTCTGACATGATGGGAAACCTTGGGAAAAACATGGAACATCCCAGAAGTGTCACTTGCAGGCGCCAGAGCATCAATTACTGCTTATCAGCTGCTCAATTTGTGTGTTCATATCTCAAAGCTCCTGCTAGCACAATTTCACGAGGGAAGTCTCCTGATGCGGGGGCTCATTTCGGAGGGCGATAAGATACTATTGGCTTTTTCCACCGAACTCACGTGCAAATCAGAGGTCTTGCCACTTCTCGTGTATGATTGGTGCTACAAGAATACTTTCTTGATTCCCCTTCGACACTGTTTTGGTGGCCAATGATAACATTTACACGCACGTTATCGTATTGGATGAAAATTCCCACAATAAAATTAAGTCACACTTTTCCTCGCACGCTCGACACCCCCAATAAATCGTTCAGACTTTGGTATACGTCAGTGTTGTGCCCAAAGGAGATTAGTTTCTATCAGGAAACATGCGATATGGAGTTGGAGTAGAGTTGTCTGTGGTATAAATAGAAGTTGCTGAAAATATTACAAATCATTTGTGGGTGGAGAGTTTTGTGGTAAAATGAAGGTTGTGCTCTTCCTGTTGGCCCTCTTGGGCTCCTCTCTGGGTCTCATCTTCGACCGTGAGTGTCCCAATCACTCTGTCGTGGAGAACTTTAACACTGAAGAGGTACAATTCTAATTCACACATCCGCCAATGATCCTTGCTTAACGATTTCCCTTTGGCTGCACAGTACCAAGGAGTCTGGTACGAGGTTTATCGCTACGAGACGTCTGAACAGTACGGAAGCGACTGCGCCACCTTCGAGTACCGAGCCACCGGACCCGACAGCTTCGATCTGGAGTTCCGATGGGTCTACATCGAGAACAACTTCCAGGAATTGTACACCTACGGAAACGCCAATCGCGCGGCCGGTGCCGGAAACAGTGCTCGCTTCCAAGCTGTCTTTGACCATGAGCCTGGCAGAACCATCAACTACCACGTCCTCGCCACTGACTTTGAATCCTTCTCGCTGATCTGGAGCTGCCACAATCTCGGCAATGGACAATCCAACGGTGTGTATTCCTAGAAGAGGATTTATCCCTCCGAATTGCTCACCATTTCCTTCTCCCATTTTCTCCTTGCCACAGAGGACGCTTGGGTGCTGTCGAAGGTTCCCAATCCGGATCCCGAGGAGTTCGAGCAAGTTGTCGGCGGAGCCATCGACCAATACCTCGAGAGGAATCAACTCCGTGGCACAGTGCAGGTAAGCCTTATCACGATCTCTGCGCACTCGAAGAAAATCAATTGTGTGATTCGGTATTACCCGAGACTTTACTATCAGCTGCCCGATAAGATCCCATCATCACTCATTTTCCCCGTAATCTCTTGGGGAATTCATCTTCTTGCCGAATTACACTTTATCTCCAATCTTCGCTTAAACGCCCTCCTGTGTGTGGGGTCAAGATCACCTCTTGAGATTTCACCATGATACCTTGTTGAACTGTAAAGTCGATTAGGGCAATCACGTTTCTCGTAATTAATTGCTCTCCTCGGAAGTGAAAAGGAAGCCTTCAAAACCTCGCACTGTGTCGGTTGTACTTTTCATTTCAGCACATAAAGGGGGGAATTTGTGTATTAAAGAATTATGTTCTTCTCTTTCCAGGGCTGGGAAAACTGCACCGATATTCCGGCTCGCGCTTACTTCGGCCTCAAATAAAGGACTCTGCTCTGTTGGACACTTTTGCTGAACAAATAAATGTTTTTATTATTTAATCTCTCTCTCTTCGCTACACTGTTAAAACAATCCAGATGCAATTTTAGAGCATCACTTTTGTCTGCTTGCCGGCGCAGGGGATTTTTCAAAATAACCGTCAGTTTATTTATCTGATTTCATTTCCCTTCAGACAGTCATAAATCGCGATTCCACCTTTGGCACACACCTTAGTAGTCTCATCAGCTTATAATCTTATCGCAATTTCGTGTAACAACTCCAATAATAAAAGACAGTGATTCGCAATTGCGTCATATCAAATTAATAATTGACTGCAAATGAATGATCCCAGTGTCTCTCGATGATCCGTAATGAATCATTATTGTGGTGTGGAGAAAAATATTAATTTGATTCCCCATTGATTGACGTAATTTAATTACCGTGCAACGCCTATCGCGTGAAAATAGGCTGATAATTGAATTTGTGAGCGCATTTTTCGTGGTCAAAGGGCTGAAGAGGCTTTGAAATGCTTTAAAATGAGGACTGCGTTGTGTGGAATTCACTTTTTCATATTGACAGAGCAAATAGGAATTCATCGTGGTGTTTGTGTTGAAATTTTCCTCATTATTCTGGTAAATGATTCAATGTTCAAACAGCCTTTTTTGGTTGAAGCGCGATAAGATTATTGTCGCGAGTGGCAAGACCTGATTTGACAGTTCACCTCCTCAATATTGGCACAATAATCGTCGTTGTTAAAAATTATTTGTTCGTCATGAAGCCTCATTAATGGGAATGTACCGGCAACCGAAGGTGTTTATCGCTCTGCATTTTTCACTGGGACGATATAAAAGAAGGTGAAACTATCATTGGACAAGTCATTTCCCTTCGGGATTCTACAGTGAGTGGAAAGTTCAGTGATCTCTGGGTTGTGGATGTGAAAATTCAAAATGTGCAAAATGCTATCAATCTCCATATTAAGTGCACTCGTGATTATTCCAGTGGTTCTGGGCAGTATTCACATGGAAGGGCGATGCCCCAGTTATGTTGCCGTGCCCAGTTTCGACAGGACCAGGGTAATATTCTGTGATATGAATTGAAATGAGAGAATACATATGTATGTCGTAAATTAATATAAATCTGGCAATTAACACTGTGTGCGCAGTATGGAATTGAAATTGTGCTCAAAATTTTCCTACATTAACATTATAAGCGCAAAATGGCAAACGTGAGTCAACCATCGAGATATTTAGCATAAAGAGCTTTAAGTTTACTGATCATACTTTGCCACCACTTCGCGTTCTGTCTTTTCTAAGTAAAATGCTTTCAAAGTGACAAAATTGACTCAACTTTTGCTCTTCACAATGTTCGTAACAACGAATTTTAGCTCTCTTTCTCTCGAGGGAGAGAGTAAAATGACGAAATTATTCAACCAGAAGTAATTATCAATTCTGTAAGCGTCTCAACACTCTGTCTATTCTCCACTGGACTTTCGAAGACTTGTTCGAAGAGAAAGTATAGAAAGACCTCCGATGTTGGGAGCTTTCGATGATATTTAAGCGGTGCAAAAAATCCACCCCAAAAAGCTCTATTCGTGCAATACAGAAGCCGAGTGGGAAGAACGTCTGAAATGATTTGGACAATATTGGACAGTTTTTAGGCGAATGGTTCGAAATACAGCGACTGGAGACTGATGAGCTATTGAATGCAGATTGCGTCCTCGTCAATTACAAAATGAATGCGGACGGAAGCACGGTGGACGTGAGCAATCGAATGATGATATTGGAGAGCACACCGAGGACGCTCGAGAGGCGGGGATATGCGAGATATCTCGACACAAGTGGACGTCTGGTGATGATTTATAATGAAACAGATCCAAGTATGTGCATATTGAATCACCGTGAGATTTCCCATTTATATTCAATCCCATTCATCCGCTTTCCATCTACTTTTTGCTCCTTCAATTGCAGGCGCCAGTATCTTCGACTATTACGTCACCCACACGGACTACACCCAGTATCTGGTGGCGGTGTCCTGCGAGAATCTGAACAACACCCACTACGCCGAGTCGGCCTGGGTCATGTCCAGGAGCCGCACCCTGCCCGCCGGCGCCCTGACCGCCGTCAATCAGGCCACTCAGCACTGGGACGCCACCTTCTTCCGCCGCACCAACCAGGATGAGCGAGTGTAAGTTGCCAGGAATGCACAAGGGGCAAGTCACAAGGCGATTTTTGAGGAAATTCAATGGTCCCAATCAAGTATTTAAATATTTAAAAAAAAAAACAAAAATTATTATTTTCGCAAGAAAAAATTGCTAAATAATGAAATTTTGAATAACATAATCAAAAAATTATTATTTTCCAAGTAAAATTACAAAATAAATTAATTTTGAATAACATTATCAAAAAATGAATGTTTTCCCAAGAAAAATTGCAAAATATTTAAATATTTGAATAAAATTGACCAAAAAATGATTATTTTCTCAAGAACAAATTGCAAAATAATGAAAATTTGATGAGAATGTTCAAAAACTGAATATTTTCCAACTAAAATTGCAAAATATTCAAGTTTTGATTAAATAATGATACAATAATCAAAAAATGATTGAAAATATCTGCATGAAAGAACCAAATTTTGATAAAATATTCAGGAAACAATAAAAAATGATTGAAATTTGTATGAAAAATTCAAAATTTGAATAAAAATCGGGAAATAATCAAGAAATGATTGAATATTCTCAAAGTTAGTGGTCTCAAATCGCGAGTGACTTTCCCCTTGGGAATGCAGCATAAATTGCATCTCTCTCGTGATCTCAAAAGTTGAGACTTCATTAGCGCGGGGAAAATGAAAGAATCAAGACTGGACTTGATGAGATTTTAATATTCATAAACCTCACTTAACCACCCAGTGACGCTTTGTGCGGCTTCTAAAGTCACTTAATGTTTTACAAATTATGAGCAAAAATCCACAATTTTAAACTTTCATGGTGGAAAATTGATGAAGAAACTAAAACATCTTATTATCATAACATTTAGAAATTGCGCTTTTGCTTCTGCAAATTAATGACACTGCATCTAATCAATATATAGTTTCTCCTTTGCTGAGCAAATTCTCTCTCTCCCTCTCTAACTTCCAGGTGCAGCTCTTCACGGCAATTGGCATTGGCAAGCATCACACTTTTAATGGCCCTGTTCACAATTCATTTCCTGCGCTGAGGGAAAAGTTTTGCGCTTGTTATCACAAATTTGCTATTTTCATAGGTATGAAGAGCCAATATCTATTTTGTAGTTGTGTGTGCTAAAGCAACACGAGCGGAACTCGGTTGTAATTAAACTTTGAATAAATTAGACATCTAATTAATTGTGAAATTCCACCTCTCCAACCAATTCTGATAGTCCATTTGTGTGCCTTCAGGATCTATTTCTGGGTCTGCGGTGTATTTATAGGAGTTGAAGCTCAATCCATTTGCCTCGGTGTGTGTGTGTTTGTGTTTACGGAAGGAAAATCCGACAGCTGGGGAAGTGATTCAATTGTCGAGGATTCGGAGATCTTGCCATCATGACTGTGAAATGAACACGAGAGATCCTATGACATTTAATTGATGCCATCACAGCCCGAATGAACTCAAAAATACAAACGGAGTGGCATTAATTGAAGTGGGGAATATCCAATCATGAGCGAAATCACCAAGAACAAAGTGAATTTAATGTGCACTCCAATATACATAGCGTGTGTGTGTGTCGGTAGTGAAATGTATCCGCAATGGGATAAGAGGAAATGGTGAAAGGGTTCTGTAATTCCGGGTTTTGGTGTTTCTCACACTCGCGCTCACTCCACCCAGAAAATGTTGCGGAAACCATTGGAAGCGACTTGTATAGCCTATGGTCAAATGGTTGATTTCGGCCAAGCTTAGGAGCAGTTGGACGATGAATATCTGCAGTGTTATAGCATGTTACATTTGTATATCTCTCAAAATGGGGTGTGTGTGTGTTTAACTTGAAGCTCAGGGTTGCTGTAAAGTTCTGCTTAAATTTGCGAAAACCCGCTCATTGCCACTTCCTATTGTCCTCTCACTCTTTCTCTCTCTCTCTCTCCTGAGACTGTTTGTTAACCTTTTTTTCCATGATTGATTTTCCTTCTCCGCACCCACGGAGGACTGTACTCACGGGGAGAGAGCATTAGATTGCCAACCCTGATGGCAGCTACACTGAGGAAATTCCTGTTGTGTGCGACAACAAAAGGGTTGTTAATATATCTATGGAAAATTTGGTATGCCACAATCGTCCGCTTGTGCCATTCTCCAGCACACTTGTAACTTCCTTCGCTATTATTGCAATCATTACACTTTCATCGTGTCGTAACACAACGCCCAGAACAATTCTGCAGGGCCTGGGATTTTGGGGTTGTGCTGGGGGTAAAAAAAAAGAGACAATGCGCTGCTGAGCTACATTGATTTTGGGGTTAAGCGCACAGCAAATATAATCACTTTAAGTGGGGAACAAATGTGCATTTGCATTTATTACTGTAGCAAATATTTGCAAATAAATTTATCGTCAGACTGCATGAGCTCATTACTATAATTATTTAAAAGCTTTACGCATTGTCAGCAATTTTTGATAACCACTGCGCGCTGGATAACTGATAAATTTTAATGTGCTCTCAGAGAAATAATAAAATGTTGGTGAATCAAGAAATATTCTTGAAAATATCTCCCAAATGAGGTCTGGAAACTAGCTGGAAAACACTTGATTTTAGCCCGGGAAATTGTGAAAAAATCATGTTAAGAAAGACTTATTTTTAACTCACTTTCACCCTAATTTTACATAGAAAAAGATAAATTTAACCCGAAAAGACTTTATTCTAGTTTTCTCTGGATATTTACATTGATTGACTGAATTTTAGTCAATTTTTTTGCTCTCTTTGCGAAAATTCTGTGAATCCTGGGAATGATGATGGAGAAACCAGTGAAATTTTAAGCTTTACAGCTTCTCAATCATATCATAGTTGAACATGGAGTTTCCCAAAATTTCACGCATGTCTTCTCGCCAAGCACTTTTCTATATGCCACTGCAATAGAATGACACTCCAGTGTAATTTATCATCTCCAGCGGTTTTGCCAGTTCTGGAGATTCGCTGAGATTCCCAGAATGGAAGCCACACAGTGTCCAACTCACACTCCTAATTCCAGCAAACTCCACTTCATTTCTGGAAATGTTTATCAGAAGAAGTGGGATGACAGCATTGTCATCATTTTCCATCCATGAACCGCACAAGAGGTGTGCGGTGGAGACGAAGGGGTGCTCAATGGCTTGATGATTCTCATCTCATCCTGGAGCACAGCTCCTTGGGCGTCTCTCTGTGGGACAGTTCATTGAATTTGCAGATGAGAAAGGAGGTGAGTTACGGCAATGGAGAGGCATTCAAGTATCTTATATAAATTACCCACTCGAGAAGACAAGTGGAAATGGACCTGGGAAAGCGTTGTCTGTCACAAGAGCGACATTCTATGCATAGCATTGATCAACGAAATGCAGAAAAGTCCCCATGAATCATTCATGCCGGCTTTGCTGGGAGATCGGACAATGGCAAATAGATATATTATTCATTTGCCATCCCCATGAAAGAGAGAAAATCAGAGACGATGAGTTCGTAATTGTCGACTAATTGATTATTGATTTCATTCATCGCGAATTCTCGGTGACTCTGGGCGCTCCTCAAATGAGAAGGTTAATTACTCTGAATAAGGCTTTCGCCCAGTGAATGCATATTATATGTATATGCCATGGGAAAAGAGGTGCGGAAAACTGCTAAAACTTGCTCCAACAGTTTCCATTTGAAAAGAGTAAATTGGATTTTTCCACCATCAGCGATACGTAAAAAGTCCATTTAGGTCAAGTGATTGAGAGTCATGAATTGACTCCTCAAGGCTGCGCCGCGGGTAAAAAGCGGCTAATAGACTCACTTCATCAGATGAATATTGCAATTGTGGCCCCACAAGATTGTAATGCTCTCGCCCACATCGCCCACCAATTCGCCACCCACTCACACGGACTAAAAAGCACCCAATGTGCGGTTTTGCGGACGGCTTTTGGGGTGATATCTGAGCTTTCCACTCGAGTCGAGCTTACGATGGGAAATGTCACTTTCATATTCGATTGTTGTTGAGTCATCCTAAATGCATCAGTATCGAATGAATTTTAAAAACCAATTGATAAACTCTTAACTGTGCGATTTATTGCCTTGTGAAAAGTCAAAATCGCCATTTTTCATGAGAATGAAGTGAAAATTGAGTAAAAACAGTTTCTAATCGTTGATTGAAGTGGCTAATTTTGCTGTTTCAGTTGATTTCTGACTGAAATATGGCAAAATTACTAATCTAAAAGATGGTAAATAAAATATTTAGGTGATTCACAACAATTTCCTCTCCTAATTAGCCATTTTATATGACTCATTTATTGGTAGTTTGCCGCCCTTTTCCACCCAAAAGCAAAAAAAACTGTAACACGCGAGGCAATTTAATTGAAAATGTGTAAATATTTTAAGGCACACTTTATCTTATCTCTCCCAATATTTGATGTTTGTACATTTATCATAGGAAAGCCAGTTGGAAAAATAGCCAAAGTGAGCAGAAATTACCGCACTTCGTTGATGTGGTGGTTAAGTAGAGTTGAAGAGCACATAAACATTTTGTGTATTTATGCACAAGCATAAAAGGAAGTGGCCTTTTATCGAAATCGGAAACTGATGTTTGGTACTTTCATGCATACAAACAATTCACTGAGCTCCTTTCCTTCCACAAGTTCCTCCTGGTAAAATTCATGCTCCATCCATTGGGAGAGTGGGTCTTATGTGTGGAGAACTCTCCGGTGCCTCGTTGGGTCTGGAGGAATTCTGATATCGTGCAAGCAGAGAGAGAGACGATCGCAAGGGTGGCGGAATGTGGGCAAATTTTAGAGACGGTGAATGCGGGTGAGTTTGCAAAGTTTTGCAAAGGCTTTACTAAAGAGATTTTGCTGGAAAAGTTACACAAAATTTCCCTCCAACACTCATGCCGATGCTCCACGCCACGTGAAATGCATAGACCAGTGGGTACTGGAAAATTAGTGATTTAATTAGGTGCTCCGTGTTTGTTGGAAACTTTCACCCCACAAGTAATTATCATTCAATCCTAAAATTTTAAGCGATGAACTTTGCGGATCACCGCCCTTTGCAAACACACCCAGCTATACACTAGAAAGATGATACATTTTTCGCCAACGTGGTCAAACAGAATTTCCCTCTCCCCCAACAAAGGTGAAAAGTGCTGCAGAAGCAGATTAAGAGATACGCAATCGCGTGTCTGTTTTGCTGAATATTGTATATTTATTTCCATATAAATTTGCAGAAAAACTTCAAGTTACACGCATTGTTCATCAACTTTTCATCCCCCTTGATTCTTCCTCAGCCGCTTTTCCATTGCCGCGAAGCGCGTCTCGAAAGCTTCCGCGAGGGGCAATGACATGAAGTCATAGCTCAGCCGATTGCCGGTCTGTGTAACCAGAGTCACTTTGGCGTGCCCTGGAGTGTTGTCGACGAAAATGCTTCCCTCGAGATCAATGACAATCTTGTAGAAGAAGTACGAGCGCATGGAGTACCGCGGAATGTTCGCGATCATGATTCTCCCAAAAGGCGCGAGAGACTTGTTCTGAGCTCTGCACTCGAACATCATTGTGCGCTTGCAGACGCTGTCCGTGATGTAGATTTTGGCCTTCGCATGTCCGTAGATGTCCTGCACGACAAAACTGATGCGCACGAGATTCGTGTCCTCGGGCACGGTGAATTGGAATCTGGTCAGTGATCTGATGCACTCTGGTGGTTGATACTGAAGATGTGGAGCTGAGAATGGTGCTTTGCAGCTCACACCTTTGCAGCAAGTGCAACCAGTCTCATAGATGGCCAGGAAATCCTTCTTGCAGCCCAACTTCTTGTTCAATTCACGCTTCTTCTGCACATACTGATATCGCACAGCTTCCAAGAGACTCAGTCGCAGCTTCTTGCAGAACAGCGCATACAATCTCTGATCATTGAGTCGTTTCACATCCATGAAAGTCAAATAGCGATCCATGTTGAAGAGCAGTTCACACTCCAGATCCTGGAAGGTGAAGTTCGTGGCGATTTGCAGCAATTCGCGATAATTCCGCGGATGAGCGTGAATCTTCTTGATGTAGAAGAAGCGCAGCAGCTCAACGACAATGTCCATCTGCATGTCGGTTTGATAGCTCGTGGCTTTCGTGTTGTAGAACAATCTGGGAATCTTCCCGAGATGAAATTTGATGTAGCATCGATCGGGACGGAAGAACAGCTC